GGGGCGCGGCGCGGGGCGGGGCCTCATGGAAGGAGGGCGGGGCTTGCGGTTGCGCCCCTCCCCAGAAACTGGGATCCTGGCGCCCCGCCGCCGAGTCCGCCTCTGCCCAGCTCCCTCCGGCTGGCACTGGTGCCAGGGCCGGGCCTGGGCCCAGCAGGGAAGCCCCCTGGGCATGGTGGCCCAGTCCACTGTCCCCGTCCTGGGCTTGGAACCACGAGGTCCCTGGGCAGGCGGAGTCGCGGCGGAGAGCGGGCTGCTCCCCACCCTTCCCGACCCGATCTTGGGGTGGACATCCGTAAGGACGCCCCTCAGGTGTGCAGGTGTGGCGCGGGCTGACCTCCGTTTGCGCGCCTCCCGAGCTGGGGCCTTTCCCTCTCTCGGCCTTGATTTTGTTTTTCACCTGTAAAATGAGGTTGCGAATTTGGTACCCAGCCGGTTTTCAATAAATGGACCAGAACTGGCCAGGTTCCAGGGAGGATTACAAAAAGGAGGAGAGGAGAGGAGAGGGAAAGAGGGGGAGGGAAGGGAAAGAGGGGGGAGGACTCGCCTTGAAAAAAAAAAAAAAAGGTCAGAAATCATGGAGGAGAAACCAGGGAAGTTTATTCGTAATACAAATAAAAGGCAGAAAGACCGCCCACTACCCACACACGGGTGCAGGTACACCCGTGGAGGGCGTACTCCACGCAGGTGGGAGGAGGCCAGTTGTTTAAGAAAAGGCAAGAGGGTCCTGAGTAGGAGAAGCCATGGAGGTAAGGAGAGGTGATAACGGATTCTGGTCGTGTGCTCTGCTCTACAGCTGCAGAGACTCAGGCTCAGGCCACACAGCACTGCGACAAATCCCACCAAGAGAAGATTTTCACCCTCCACCTTTCCTGTCCTTGAAGAGCCGGGATCTCTTCCTGTTTCTAATACCTTAGCACACCAAGAAGAGAGGCACCAATGAGGGCCCTGGCCCTGAACTTTCTCACACTTGAGACAAGATAGATCAGAGAAAATGAGGCATGCGTGGAAAACAGAAGCCAGAAATTCAGAGACAAACACTGTATTGATGATCAGCTTGATTAAAAGCTGATGAGCACTGTTTTCTGTGCTTCACGCTTCATACTCCCTTAACAAGATGCAACAATTAGTTTAAAAAAAAAAAAAGTGTGCGCGCAAGGGGAGGTGCTCACCCCCTCTCTCCCTCTGCCCTTGTTTGCATGTTCAAAATTTGGAGCAAATATCTTAGTTTTTTGTTTTGTGTTTTGTCAGTTGTGGGACTTGAACTCTAGGCCTGGGCTACCCCTCAGCTCTTCAGCTCAAGGCTAGCACTCTACCACTTGAGCCACAGCGCCACTTCCAGACTTTTCTGTTTATGTGGTGCTGAGGAATCGAACACAGGGCCTCATGCATGCAAGTCAAGCATTCTACCACTGAGCCATCTTCCCAGCCCAAGACACTTATCCTGGAAAGAACGCCTGGGAACATGGTTTCTCTAGGCATAAAATGTTTACAAAGGGAAATATTTCTCTGAAGGACAATGCTTGATTTGAAGGGAGGATGTGGCAGAAGTCTTGCTCTGTTGAAAGGGATGCACAACTAGCCTTAAGCACAAAAGCTGACAGACGGTGCCCGAGCCCTGAGTTCAAGTCCCTTGACAAACTAAAAATAAAAAAGGGATGCTCAAACGTCTGTGCCATAATGAATGCAGCAACTTTGCAATCTCAGCCCAAAAGTGTAACAGCAAGAATGAAGGAATGATCCAGAGGAGCATGCATCCTCAGGTGAATTTGAGCCAAGCCCCAACCCAGTGTTTTACCATAAATAACGCGGTGTCAAAAATCATTAGTCCTTATAACTTTATTTT